CCCGCCACCCTCGCTCGCTCCGTCCCTCCTTCCTCCCGCGGCTCCTAGCCCAACTTCGCGCGCTGGGTCAGGCGCCGGGAAGCGGGGACGCAGCGGCACCTCCTGGCTCCTGGACCTCACTGCAGCCAACGCCTGCGCCTCCCGCACACCCTCTGAGCATGCCCGGTGCCCTGGTTGCAGGGGTGCCAGAGGTGCCCTGGAGCCGTACGTTGCTTGGGGTTTTCAAGGGAACTTGGGGGATCCCGGGAGCGTCTTTGGATCCGAACCAGGTGGGAAAAGGGCCATCGAGAGGGATCAGGGAGGCAACCAGCAGCGGTTTTCCCCTCTAGCGGGAGCTCTCCAGCGCCGGCCCCAACCACCTTTTTGAGGGGACTATTATTATTTATTAGCAGAGAAGAGAGCATTTGAGAGGCTTGGCGTGAGAGCTCTTTGGGGAAACCTCGTCGCGACTGAGAGTTTTCAGCGCGCTGGTCTTGAAGTTGGGATTGTGGTTAAGGTGTCACCGAATTGTACACGTAAAAAATGTTAAATTGACAAATGTTGTGTTATATATATTTTTTGCAACAATGAAAAAAGAGAAAAAGAAAAGAAGCTGTATGTTTTTAGATAGAAAGTGCGTCCTGAGAGAAGCGATGGTTTTATTTCCCAGAGAGACAGAGTCTGGCTCTCTCCGTGTGTGTGTGTGTGTGTGTGTGTGTGTGTGTGTGTGTGTGTGGTGTGTGTGTGTGTGAGTGTGTGTCACTGACAGTGGAAGAGAGAAGAGGGAGACTGAGACAGAAAGATTTAGAAATCTGAGCATTTAGGAACACAGGTCCAGGAATATTTTTCTTTATTCATTCAACAAATATTTCTTACACACACAACCACCAGAACGGCTAAAATTTGAAAGACTGATTATACCAACTGTTGAAGAGGTTGTGAAGCAACTGGAGAGGGTGTAAAATGGTATAGCCACTTTGGAAAACGGTTTCTTATAAAGTTAAAATATTTGCTTATCATATGGCCCAGAAATTCTACTCCCAGGTATTTCACCAAGAGAAATGAAAACATATGTCCGCAAAGACTTGTACAGGATATTCATAGATTTCTTCCTAATAGTCACAAATTGGAAACATCCATATGTGAATCAACAGGTAAACAGATAAACAAATTGTTGTATATCCAAACAATTTAATACTTTTTAGCACTATAAAGGAATGGACTACTGATATACATGATGAGAATGAAGCATGCAGACTTTAGAGCTGAGTGAAAGAAGGCAGACACAATTGACTGCATAGTGATAATTCCATTTGTATGAAATTCTAGAACAGGTAAACTAATCCATGCTGACAGAAAGCAGATCAGTGGTTGCCTGTGGCAAGGAGTGGGCATAAATTGACTAGAAAAGGGCACCAGGGAACTTTTTTTGGTGATGGAGATGTTCTATATCATTATTGTAGTGATGATTATATGTGTTTATACATTTGACAAAACTCATAGAACTGTACACTTAAAATGAATGCATTTTATTGTAAGTAAATTATATCTCAATAAAGTTTATTTTTTAAAAAAGAAGAAACAGAACATGAAGAAAACAAAAGATAATTTTTTTTTCTTTAAAGCTTTGTTCTCCCTGTCCTCTGCCTCCAGAGCCTTCAAGGCTCAATATTTATGAACTTAGTCAAAAGATTCCCAAAATTCAGTGAAAATCTGCAATCAAATATTTCAATGCGTTCAAAAAATATTTGTGGATCAGCAGCTATATTAAAAGAACTGTTATATTCCTATAGGTAACCTGATGAATCAGACAAACAATACCCTTAACCCCCCAGCTCTTTTTCATGGATCTTAACTTGTCTTTGGAAGATACTTGCTACAAAGAATCTCTTTAAAGAATGACTTGTTTTATTTGATCACATGAGCTTCAACTAAAATCTCTGTATGGTGTCCATAAATCTAACTAGCAGCCTGCCTTGGCTTACTAGTTACCTCATGGAAAGTACTACCCATGTTCCTACAGTGATTTTTGTTAGAGTACAACAGCAAAACTCTACTTCCAGAACTAAAAAATCTCCGGGGCCTTCTTATCTTTAAAAATGATTCTTACCAGACTTACTCTTCTCTTTTTTCTCGCTCTTTCTTCCTTTCCCTTTTTTGTTTTCCTTGTAATCACAATTTCTCTGTTACCCATGGTAAAGATTTATTGGTTGCAGTAGGTTTTAAATACCAGAGTGGTTTAGGAAGGCAAGAAAGACCAAAATTGTGCCCTCTGGAAGAGGAGTTTGGAGGGTTGGAAATGGACTCTAAGATAAATAAGAAGGGAAACTGAGTTTCCTCATTGTGACTGATTGATTTATGAGTCTCCAGTCTTTGTGTGTGTGTGTGTGTGTGTGTGTGTGTGTGTGTGTGTGCAATGGTTCTCCATTCTATGCCCCTTCCTATATTCAAATACTTTCCCATGTGACCTTACAGTTTTCAACTAGTCACCCTGTGTATTTATCCACTCCAGTGATGTTGGACTATGTGACTTGATTTGGCCAGTGGGATGTCAGTAGATATGATATGAACAGAGGCTTGACATGTGATTGTGAGGTTTGGCTTGCCCCCTAGGGTGGGTTTTTGTCATTGCCAGGAGATAGACATGCCTCAGGGAGGCTCTGATTCAAGGAGACACATAGTTATTAGCTGACCACGAGCTGCCTGGACTCCTGGCTAACTTATGCCCTAGGGAATAGTTCTGCGCTTCCCCATAATTGGTTGCAGATCTGACCCTTGTGATCCACAGGGTTTTCATTGGCTGATTTTCAGAAGTAAATCACCAGGCCTTTATTCTTAGTACATCTGAGTCTGGAAGTTCCACTGAAACCTGTTCAGCATCATAGCAACATGTAAGCCTCCACTGACAGGTGGTGACTGCATATGAGGTGCATTGGCCAGGAATCAAACCCAGGTCTCCCACACAGAAGGCAAGAATTCTACCACTGTCTCATTATATGAGGCCAACCTAGGCCCAGTCTGCAGCTGAGGCAAGCCCAACAGAATCCATCCTAGATCTGTCTGATCCAGCCAACCTGCAGACCCAGGAGCATGGCAATAAATGCTCATTGTTGCATGCTGCTGAGTTGGGGGCACCATTATGGTGGCAACAGCTGGCTGAGTCATTCATCTAACTGTCTTGATTCCACCCAGCTGTTGCTATTGATGTGAATGTAAGGAGGAGAATGAAACTGTAGCATTCTGAACAGTTGATCAGGGTTTGTCTTCAAGACAAACATGGCCTTCCAGTGCTGCTTCTACCAGCAAAATGGTACAGTTTGATAGAAGAAGGCTGGGGGATAAATCTTTTCTACATGCAGAACAAGGCTTGAAACAGCTTGCTTCAACTCCCTCATTTTCCACAGCTTTTGTAATGACACTAGATAAAAAAAATTTTAAAGTGTGGAGATTTTTGTCACTCAAAGGGACCCAAAGAACATCCAAAATGCTGTGACCCAGGCCTCTGATCCATCAAGTTCAGTGTTCTGCTCTGTTTTTGAAACAATAGGAAAGTCTGTTTTTTTGAGAGTACAGAATTGCCCTTCAGGAGGTCAGCCTCAGGGAGTTGGTGAAGCTAACCTGTATTGAGGCTCTCTCTAAGCCAGGGCACTGAGCTTAGCACCTCCCAGGCATTCAATAGCATAGCCCTTGCTATTCAACAGCACCCCTGCCACCTTCCATATTTTTTGTTTTTTTTCTTATAAGCAAACCCTGATTTGGTTCAGGTGGCAACTTGTTTAGGGAAGGTGGCCCCTCCTCTTCCCCAGTAAGAACTATGATTGGTCTAAACCAATTATAATAATCCCATTTTCCTTTGTCTGTGATTGGTTTAGAGGATGGATAATAGGCCCAGATCTGGCCAATGGTTGAGGGGGGTGGGGCTTCAGGGAAACATTTCCTTTTTTTTCTTTTTATTGCTGTATATATTGGTGTGTGAAGAAGTCATACATGTTGCCTTTGCCACTATATCTTGACCATGGGCTTTAACCTTGCTATTCACCACCAACTAGAAAGATGCTAAGAACCTCGGTCTTTCACTAGATCATTAACCCTCTGAACCATTCATTCCTAGACTTCCAGATGAGTGCAGTAATGCATACCCTTACTGGTTAAGGTTTCTTGTTACTATCAACTAATCTTGTGGACAGTATTATTATAATTAGTCCCCGACTTATGACAGGTTTCCATCCCGACGACTCTGTCCTAAGTAGGTTCGGACTTAAGTTGAATATTTTTTTTTTTTTAGTTTTCATTATTATTACCTTTTATTAACAATATCTTTATAAATCTGACCTTTACTTGTCTTTGGGGATTGGAAGCATTACATATAAACTTAGAGATATATTTTAATACATACATACATAAAGATACACAAATCATAAAAATTTACTCTGACGATGAAGCAGAGTTGGACGCTGTTGGTGTTTGGTCAGTTGCGGTAATAACTCCACTTGTGGAAGGTTCTGAACCATCTGGATTATTCCTGGGAATGGGGATGGCGTGTCTCGTCAGAAAATTAGTGAGAGTTGTCTGTATGGTCCTTTTCTTTTTCTCTTCATATACTTCACGGTAACATGTCACTGCTTCCCGAATCTGCCTATGGCTTCAGGAAAGTGATCAGCGTTTGAGTCTGTGTTTTCAAGCGACTGAAGCACCTGACTTAGTTTGGAAAACTAAATCTGTATGGCAGTGTGTTGAACAGTAAATCATAAAATTGAACATCTGCGAGTGAACATCTGAGAATAACATCAGAAAATTACATGCTGCAGCATTGTATGTAATACATATTACTAATGATGAAATGTACCAAAACCACTAAAATGGATGGTTGTAAGTGCAGTTTGTCATAAAAAATATGTTGTAAGTCAGGGACTACTCCATC